CCCTTTTCATCCCCTGAAAGTGCCTAAAAACCTCAAATTTCGCGCGCATTTCTTGTTAACATGGCCCAATTTCCTCTAAAAATTGCACATTTTAGGGAGTTTTGATCAATTCCAACGAAATTAGAATTAAAAACACCGGGGGACAAGGGGAAAATATCCTTCTTTGGAAAATCTTTCCCCACCCCTTGACAAATGCATCTTCTGAAAGTGCCTAAAATTCTCAAATTCTTTGCGCGCATTTCTTGTTACGGTAGGCCAATTTCCTCTATAAATTGCAAATTTTAGGGAGTTTTCATCAATTCCAACGAAATTCGAATTAAAACACAAAAATATTTTGCGCGCTTGGCGCGCATTTTTTAAGGCTTTTTTTAGTTTTATCCTTTTAAGTTATTTATACACACAATAGTCCCAAACTCAAGAAAGACAAATTTAAGTTAGATCATTTTAACCTAAAAGAAGGGTCACAATGTGTATAGATGGTGAAAGAATATGTTTGTAATAAATAAAACCATGATGAAAATGCTTATATTTAGTTTCAAACACACGTGTGTGGCCTATATTATAAATAAGATAAGCCCTATGTAGTATTGTTTTCTATATGGGGAGTGGGGTGTATGTTATTATTATTATTATTATTATTATTATTATTATTATTATCATTATTATGTTGTAATGATGTTGTTTGTACTGTTCTTTAATTTTATTAGAGAGGGCCCCTGAATATCAGTTACCGTAACCTAACTGGGCTAAACTAGAAGTGTTACCCTCTTTAAAGATGGTTGAAATAATAAAATTAAAAAATAAATACCCACTGTGACCCAAGACCCCTGTTACGCGCCTGGTGTTAGCGCCAATGTGTGCCCTTGTGCGGACACGGGATGTGCCCCCCTTTGAAGCTGGAAACCTTGTATTTGCAAAATAAATTGATGCAATTTGCTATTATAGGCCTAATCAATAAATTCCTCATCAACCGATATAACCTTAAACATTCTTGAAATTGACAAAATTACTGATGTCGTACACACCCTTCAGTGTAAAATGTGGCTCTCTTTGCAAGCACATCTAACATCTAAGGAAAAAAGAGAGATTGGTACCAGATAAAATAATTTTGTTATCAACATTAATACATTATGCTAATTTTCATCTTTGTAAGCGCATAAGACAGTGCAAGTTATTTCTGTGACAGTCTTTTGAAGTGTGTAAAGCTCAATTTGATCTCATACATAGTCAAAATATTGGGGGATGATATAATGGACCATCCCCCTTGTCAAATATTGGGGGGGATATATCTCCCCATCCCCCCGGGATCTACCCCTATGTGTGTTAGTCCAGCAGCTTCGAAATTTTAGCTATTTCTAAATGATTGGGTGTGGGGCAGGGTGAGTGCTCAGGGGTTGCGCCAGTGGGGGACAGGACCCCGATCTGGGGAGCTCTCCCCCTCCCCTTACCCGGTGGGGGAGAAAAACTACAATTCGTTGGCCGGGAGAGAAAAAAAATTATATGTACAGTATTTTGTACATATAGACTCTAAAATCGATTAAATAACCCTATTAAACCCCTAAATTGTCACATTTTCGGGGCTTTGCCCTCCTGGACCACTTTGGAATGATTTTGAGCGACACCCGATCACACCCACTTTGCTCTCATCGGGGACATCCAACCCCCCTCCCCCTTCCCTCATCGTCGATGACTTTGGCCCCCACCCCCATTGGGCACTTCATGGCGCCAACCCTGTGTGTGCTCCTTCCCTCCCCCTGGATCTGCCACTGCGTCCACATGTTTCTACCATCGGCTACTACATATAACGCTGTATAATACATACATGGAATACCTTAGTTGGTAATTTACGTTGATTACATGCACATTACTGCCTGAGGGAAGAAGAAGAAAATGCATAGATTATGCTGAATAAGCTTTTACAGTACGGTATATGATGTATTATGGCGATAATTTCACAACAACATAAGTGATGATGATTATGATCATCGCCGCCGTTAACTACAGCCTTAACATCGGTGCTGCTTCGAGCCACTCCTCGCCCATGGATAAGGATTATACCGAGAATCCCATGTGTACACATCTAGTCCGTGTGTACTTTTATTGTTCATTGTCAGCCCCGTCGTGGAATGATTTGAACTAAGCGTCTCTATATGGCTTCCAAAGCCTGGTTTCCATAGAATCGCTACACAGCCGCTACGGCGTTTTCGCTGCAATCCTTGCACTGCGTAGCTGTCCCTGACATAATCGGGAACGCTTCTCGATTCAACTGACCAATCAGCGTCGCCAAAGGACTCGGCGATAGTGTGTGTAGCGATCTTTTTATGGACACCAGACTTAAAGTAGTCACGGACTACGTTCATATGCAATTCAGCACAGTGACGCTGCGAGTACATTATTTAACGATGAACTTAAAGAAGAGGGATTTTCCCCCAATGGAGAACAGTGCGGGGACCCCTGCAGGCCAGACCCTGGTTCCAGTGGTGAAGCTCTGATACAGAGGTCCGACAATATCGGCCTACTGGTTTGAGAAGTTTATTTGATTTCAGATTTTTAAAAATACTCCGAATTATTTAATTTTCAGAAATATTGTAAACAATGAACACACAACAACAAAAAAAGAAAGAAAGCGCGAGAAAAAAAAGGCCTCAGATAAAGTAGTTCGCCCTTACTGGACGTCTTCTGGCAAAAGGATATATGGCCTAATCAAGTAATTAAAAATCATCTCACCTCTCCTTCCAACCTAGGTAGAGCCCCTTCTAACCCAATTAACGCCCCCTCACTTTTCCATCATGCATTGACTGCTGTGCTACGCTGTTCTCTAAAATACTACTTAGGCTACACGATAATGTAACCTGAAGTGTTTGCTATTTGGATGTCTGTCAATAATTTCGAGTTGCGGAATTGTGACGTTGATGTTTATTGATTTAAAGATTGCTTAAAGCATGAATCCTGTGTGAGATAAAAATGATTGAAAACAATAACAATTATACGAAAAATGCACTTTATATTAAATGTAGGCTACAGTGGGGGGAGTATTTACGGTAAGGCACGGACAGCAGCCCTCCGGTTTTGCCGCTGTCGTCTTTTCTTTTTTAACAGAAACATTAACGAAATATGACATACAAATATTAAATGTTACACTATTTCGTAACATCATAATCTGGACATATATAACATTATTGGATACTTATTTATCTGTATAATTTACGCCTATATGAAACTGGTGCCCCTCGATCTTATGAAATTCTGGATCCGCCTCTTCGACCATTTTGTAATCATCATTATTATTGTCGTCCTCGTTTTCGTCTCCTTCGGTTTCATTGTGCCCATCGCCGCTGTCGTCGCCGTTGATATTGCTATTATTATTATTATTATTATTATTATTATTATTATTATTATTATTATTATTATTATTATTATTATTATTATTATTATTATTATTATTATTATTATTATTATTATTATTATTATTTTATTATTATTATCACTTTACAAAAAAAAGGAATAATAAAAATAAGATAATAATTTATTGTATTAAATAGACATTTGGAAAAATATATGAAATAAATTTAATCTATCAAAAATCTAAGAATTTAGTTGGAAAAATTATGAAAAAAAGTTATATAAAATATATAATAATTTATTGCATTATGTGTCATTAAGGAAAATTTACGAGAAATGTTTTCATCTATCAAAAATATGATTTAGTTATCCAAAATATCAAAAATGTGTCAGTTGAAATGTTCTACGTCATATTGTAGGTATAATTGAAAAAGCAATTTAATATTGATATGTGTTTCACAGTATAAGGCCTGGGGCGGCTTCCATTCCATTCGAAAGGTTGTGAGTCGGCCCGAGTCAGAACCTGGTTGAATTGCTTGTCTCCATGGCAATGCACTTCATCTGATATTTCTTTATAAGTTGGTATCTGAATGGTTTTTCTTGTTATTAAAACACACACCCACACACACACACACATATATATATATATATATCGGATTTTCTCTACTGTTCCGTTTAAACTTTATATTATCATTATTTGCATTTATGTGGCTGCTCGTTGTTTTTATGGGTTTATCCCATTTGCCATTAAATTTATATATATATATATATATATATATATATATATATATACTGTATATATAATTATATAAGTATATAAGTATTGTGACTCATTTACGTTGTCAGCATTTTGTAGGGGTTTGTTTTCAATCTATATTATTTTGCTTTTATGTGATTTAACGACGTACAGTACACAAAAAAGAAGGTGCTGTATGTTGTATATATGTTGCCAAATGTACTGTAGAGATCAACGCCCGTTTAGCAGTGCTCTATAATTTAGATGACGCTACCAGGCATGCGCAATAAAACATTGAGACTGTATATGACATCTGATGATATACTGTATATTTTGTTTCTGTTTTGTTAAAAGACTTTAAAAAAAACAAAAACCAAGGACTCTCAGCATTTCATAAAAACTCGCTTTCTATGCTAACTCTGGCAGGTCATTTGAACATTGTCACACAACCACAAATTGTCACTAAGTTTTGGCTATAAGCAGCCAAGGCATTTTAGAACAGCAACGTCTGACTAGCAGTCCTACTCTAAGTAGTAACGGTCAGATCAGAAAGCTGTTTCAAATTATATGATCCAATTTGATTAATTGAAAGATATTATCGCTACTGTACACCAATGTACCATAAAATATAAATCACTGAATGTTTATGAGGTTGTGATATGCGATTCATTTTTAGACAGATGTAACAACTGTTATGTTTATCTTCGCGATGTAACACCTGTCTTTACTACTTTATTATGATTCAATTACCGCAGTACATTGTGTTGTATATGTTGTCGAATAGATTCAGAAATGAACACAAACGTCTGTATTTATCTGTGTTGACCATGTTTTATTTCAATTCAAACAATCAAGTAAAACTTATTACAACGTGAAGGATAAAAATGGCCAATAGTAAGTAAACCAAAAAGTGTCAGAAAGTATTATAGTGCATTACTTGGGACGGATCGTCCATATATTTTTTTAAATAAATACTCCATGATTTAATAACAAGCTGTATCGTACATAAAACTGTTTTGATACAGACCTGGTTACTGGTTAACTACAATGTATACATACACCATGTACCACCTAAGGGCTAACCAGGAGAAAATGCATAGCTAAATAATCTTTTACTGTACAGTATATGCATGATATTAATAATAATAATAAAAGTAATAAATAGTAATTATAATAAAAGAAAATATATAATAATCAATAATGATAAATAAAAATAGTAATTAAATACAACAATGGTCCCCGCATCTTACAACTGGCTTCTTCCTTGCATTCTATTGTATATTATATACAAAAAGCTACATATTCTATGTTAAATTTTCACTGTGTAGATATATTTACAATAGAAATCGCTTTAATATTGTATTTATCCAACCCCCACACAAAAAAAAAAAAATATCCCCTTCCAACAAATATCCCCAGTCCCTCATATATTTTATAATTGGCATATAGGAGAATATTGTTTTGCTAACTGTAAATGAATTTATTTTAGACCTATTTTAGATTATTTAAACAACTTCTTGCGTATATGACAAGCAGCAATAATTTTCTTCTTAGTTCGTTTTTTCTTCAGGCATGATGTCATCTCAATTGCACACATTAAGTTTACCTCACAAGAGGTAGTCTGTATGAAAGTTATATTTTACAAGCTCTGAGCTTAAATCCGAAAATCTATCAGCCAAGTATCACGCAAATTATGCAAAAGCTGAACTAAACATATTGCTTTGAGGTATCCTCCCTTCGAAGATTATTTGTAAACGATTATTTACGTGTATCATAAAGCGCGGTGATAAAAGACAGAGTACTTAGAACCGATGCCAACCATGGTAAGGGGAGGGGTAAACTACCTTCATAACATTTTTGACGCCTTTTAACATGGTTACCGGTGTTATTTACTTAAGAAACAGTGTTGAAATAAAAAAAAAAAAAAAAAAAAAAACTTACACTACGATATCTAATGAATAAGTATAACAAGTCACTCAAATGTAAATAACGATATAAAGTTACAAAGTTTTAAGTATTACAGTACATATTAGAGAGCTTTCGATTTGCGCGAGGACGTGACGTCAGAACAAATTTACTCATCCGTGACCGTCCTACGTTCTCTGGACATCGACGTCCTAGAATCTAGACGACTACGAGAGCTTACGAACGATGCCGAGTTTATGTCCGCTCTCTCTGATGAAGAGAACAGAATGCAAAAGCTTTCTCTCTGTAAAGTAATGGTCTCTCACACCGAATAACGATCAATCCCATTGAGAGTGAAACCACTATAGAGTAAAGACCACTATCACTTGCAGAGCTAAGATCTAACCCACTGCAGAGTGAAAAATACTCCCATTGTGGAAACCTCACCGTTCGCAGAGGACTCCTTTCAAAGTTTTGAGCCGTTTGCTCTGGAATTTTATAAAGCATATCTTCAAGTAAATACAAAATGTCAGCAGCTTCAAACAAATATTAAAATTTAAAATCATTACATCAAGGGATTAATTTTCAACTTTATAACTATTAAAATACTGTAATTATTTCAGTCTCCACCGTGCTTCACCCTATTCAATCCTATATTCATGTGCCTCGTATATTTTATGTACGTGCTTGTTACAAACCACTCAAAGACTACATATGCCTAGTACTGCGGGGTCGTGTTACCCAAATCGGGGTAGAACATAAAAAAAATAGCTTAGTCAAAAGTAAAATACAGTTGTTAAACGGTTCAATTTTCGTCCAAAATATCTTAATGAACTAGGAATATATAGATTTATTATATCTTAAGTATTGCATAGTGCCAATTAATTCGCTGATAGTAATATGATTGATTTACAATGCGAGTTTTATATAAATTGTTATTGTTTACATTACGTTTAAGTTTATACGGCCATAATCACCTGCCTTAAATATCGAAAGCAAATTTCAGTAGTTCAAGTTGAAATTTCCGTCCAAAATTTTGTTGTTTACACTGCTTTAAGTTTATACAATGTGAATAAATTAAAATACGGATTTTCAATAATACATTTCCGTACCTATCAACTAGACTGGGCACTCAGTGACAACCACTAATAACACCTAAAGCAGTCCAGCGAATTTCCGGGAGCCAATCATAAAATGTATAGATTCCAAATATGTTTATTTCTCTAATGTTAATGGTAAGAAATGGAATGCTCTTGTCCAAGAAGTTAAACTTGCCAAAGTCTGAGAAATGTTTCAAGTAGGTCTAAATTTATCTTGCTAGCTAATCTTTTGTTAAAATAGAATGAATGATTGCGTGATGATGCTTTACATTACCATGTTTTCCCCCTTTATTTTTAACTTTTATCATTATTTTGCTTTTCTTGCAAGGGTTTTGTAGAGTAGGATAAGAATGAGACCACATTATAATCAAGCGGTTCTCTCTATGAGTTATCTCTGGTTTCCCCTTTTAAAATTAACATCTTTTTAAAGCTGCGATGGTAGGCCTAATTTTTGAAAGTTATTAAGTTGTTTTAAGTAATTTATTTCTATAATACTGTATTATACTGTTTTTGAATCTTCAAAGTGGAACCCCATAAATTAAAATATAATTAAACCAAAACTTTAGAAAAAGTTGGCCATAGTACATATCTGCCTTAGTACACAAGCGGCCATTAGCACAAGTGGAACCGCTGTACAAGTTGTCCCTAGTACTCGTGGGCATAGCACAAGTCAGCAGCCTACATATCTGCCTCAGTGCAAATACTTTGTAGTACAATTTCGGAATTGTGGTACAATTCAATGCGATTATCAAAATTAAGCCAATGGTTCTTTTTTGGATGTGTCACCATTCTGTTGTAAGAATCCTTGCGATTCCGAGTTCGTTGTGTGATCTTTGTCCTTGTCTCCCAACTCCACCCCATTTCTATCCTCTCTTTTCACTCCATATTTTAACCTCTTGTAGTGCACATATATATCGTGCAATTCAAGTGCCAATGGTACAATGATGATGAAAGTTGCCGCTGTGTAGGCCCATGCCTGAGATAACCCAATCCAGAACGTAAACTCGCCTAAAGAGAGATCTCCAAGTGAAGCCATGACTGCCGGCCAAATGATGACAAGGATAATGGACAGAACTATACTTATACCAATTGAGACCATCTTGGTCTTTCTAAACACTTGCTTCATTTGAGCGAGAGTTGGGCGGTCTGTGCTAAGATGTATTGGGATGTTGAACTCTCTGTGGTAAACAAAAGAAACAAGAGTTATTTATGGTGGTTTAACTACAGAAGAGAGAGAAAAAAATACACAGTACTGTAATTATTATGTTGCTCATTAATACCGTGGTTTACTTTGCAATCCATCATTAACAAAAACAAGTTTCAAATTCAATTGTCTGCTAATACCTTGCGCACCCCTATATATTAATTATTACTTCTTTATTGGTAAGGGTGAACAACCCCTAACGTTTTGCTTTGAACAATAATTATTCATTAATGTATGTAATCCGTTGAGACTAATTTTGAAACACTTCGTTCACAGCCGCGGCAGTTTGCATGCATGATGCATAGTGTGATGCATAGCATGTGTATTAATAACTACGTTTTGTTATTAATATGTCACACTAAGACTATGATGAATATTTTGTGTCTTCAATAATGGTCCTTGTCAAGCAATATTACACATAACTCAATATATGCTCGTAGAATTTTGAGCAACTGCGTTTTTACCCATTGCAGGTTGACTAGATACGGTCGTCGTTTGTGATAAATGTTCTACTTTCTTTAACGCACGTTAGGACCTATTAATATCAAATTCATTATGGGGTAATTTTGATTCACTTGATTACCCAAAATGGTAAACGGCATTGTTATCTTGAAAACCGTGTGGAAATTGAATCACTTTAAATATATAAGGAAATTACTTATTAATATTAGTTCATGAGACAGCAATTACTGTACTAAAAAAATGTTTATTTACTCCATTTTGATTCTCACCTGGTGTAGTGTTCACTCCATGGCATCAGCGGATTGTCAATGTCACGTGTCTTCTCCCAAACCTCCTCTTCCTCTTCTTCTGTCAAAGGCTTCTGTTTGATTAACGATGTGGCCACGCAAAAGACAGCGCCTGCGACGATAGCCGCAATGTTACCCATCAACATATTGAATTCTTTGCCGGTATTTTCGAAGAAGTGTCCATTACGAAGTCCACCGTCTTCTAAGCATGACGTAACAAGTAGCGTTACTACACCTAATATCATTCCACCAATAGCACCAATCGTCATGCCGGCCCCGGTTAGTCTTCCCCATGTAACACTGAGGATGATAGGTACCACAGCTGAGGCAATTGGGATACCCATGAATGTATACAACCATCCCATCTTCAACTAAATATATGCAGAAAAAACACCAAATTGTTATTTTTACAATACAGTAAATCAGGGCAAGAAACGGACACACAAAAAGCATGGTCACTAAATAATTTCTTAATTTAATTCGACTGCATTAATGAAATTAGCAAGTACAATTGTAGAAAAGAATGTACTAACATCTAGTAAATCAAACACCAACGTAATGGGAACGTTGGCGAGTGACACCATCACCACGCACCAATCACGTTTGTCTCCCAGGAAGTCGAGATATGATCTATAGTCACCATGCACAGTACATTTGTATGCTGGTTTGACGGCATCTTTGCATGAATTGCGGAGGCTGTAACATAAAATATGTCTTTAGCGCAAACTTGCTTTTGTTATACTGCCATAAAACTAGAATGAAATAACATCTGCACATAGCCCTAGGTGATATTTACAGCATTTACTGATCAATCAAATCATCGAGTGCCCGAGCGGTAAGACAGGCTGTCTCTTATACACATCTGTACTGCGGGGTCGTGTTACCCAAATCGGGGTAGAACATAAAAAAAATAGCTTAGTCAAAAGTAAAATACAGTTGTTAAACGGTTCAATTTTCGTCCAAAATATCTAGAGAAACCAGCCTAGATCCAGGGGCGCTAATAATAACTATGGCTGCAAGAACCACGACCATACACAATTAGCACAATGACGCTACGAGTTATGGGTTATTCTCATATCTTTACCTTACTTTGAACTAGTTTATAAATAGTATCGACTGTGATGTTACATTCAGATACTATAACACAAAAAAGGCTTGATGGAAGAAGATAAGTGTCAACCGTATTTACCTGTCATCAGTGATGCAATACACACATTCAGACTTCTTCACACACACGCACTGGTTAGAATCTTTGGCTTTACGTCCACGGTTCTTTCCACAGATCTCGCATTCGTTGCAGTTATCCAACACCTTGTATGGTCTCCAGTGAATCTTGTAGAGATCGTACACCAATATTGATGTTATGGCGATAACTTCTGCTGATCCTGTCGACGTCACGGCCATCAGTATGATGATAAACATCAACACTTCACCGTAGTAGCCCATCAATGCTCGGGCAACTGTTGGGGCAACTAGTCCTGGGAACAATTTGTTAACATATTTGTCAAAATGTGCTAAACCACATTGTAAAATTTTAAACTGAATAACATGTAAACTTCATATTGTAATGTAATCTGCCTCTCAAGAATATCCGTTAATAATATCTCTAAACTATTTCCCATGGCTTCGGTCATTCTACTGATCATGTTAAATAATTATATAGGTCTGACGCACAAAACATATGGCAATTACAATGTTTCAAACAAAGAGGTATTGTACAATTACCTTGGGTGATTTCATCATCGGAGATCAGCTGCTGTCCACTGAAAGAGCTAAGGGCCAAAAATGAAAAGCCCATGGTAGCAGCAAAGGTGAATGGGATTGCAAACCAGACAAGGCCTCCAGAGATGAAGCCCCACATGCCTTGCTTAGGCTTAGCCGCTACGCCACTCTGCCAGTAGGACTGGTCAACAAACACCGTTCCAAAGTTTCCTACAAGTAGTAGTAATAGACTATGTTATCATGGCATGAACACAATACTTTTTTTTAATGTAAAAGCAATAATAAAGCCCACTAATCTAAAATAAGGAAGATCAAATAATTGGGACTTTCTCCTACAAAAAATCATTAAGTACGACGGTGGAATGTTTGAATAGTAATAAGTGAACGCAATCGTAGCAAAATAAGATTTTAGTAGCATAGTATAGTTAAATGTGCATAATATGTAATAGAAACATGATTGATAAACATTATAACATCTCAAACTATCTACAGATTTGACATTGTCAAACAGGATAAATGGTTAGTTTAGTTGGTCTTTTTTAATGATTAGGTTTCCTGAAAACATAATTTAGAATGGGAAAAAGAAGTGCATGAAAGTAACTACAGAACATGACGTAAGATTTCATGATTTTGTCAATCATTTTGACCTGAAGGGAAGAGAAGTAAACTACAGTACTTTCCTCCTGAATAACTATCGAACATTGATTTTTTTAAACACATCTTGTGACTTAAAGGGAAATTAGCGGTAACTGCATCGTCACAGTTTGCAGATGTCGTTGTTGTTTTCAAATCACTTTTTATTTAATAATAACATACATGTCAAATGTAAAAATACAGGAGGAATAATATCCCTAATATATTATTTCAAAAGTGTTTGTATATAATAGTTGGTGATTTCTGATGAAAGTAATATGCAAATTCAAGCAGGCTCATAATAAAGCAATAGCTACTGAGAACCTCAAGTTACATCAAAAACAGTTTAAACAAATTTACAAATTATGCCTTAATTCTCTTGGAACCTCATAACATAACGTTGGGCGTTTTAAGGACATTATGTAAATATAGTGCTTAATTATCTATGTAATATGATGATAATGGTGTTTATAAGAAGGGATGGAAAACAAAACATGTTTTGACGTTAAGCACAAAAGAGTGCCTTAACTCGTTCGGTCATTGTGGCTTTGTGATTCAATTACCGACGGTATGTCTGCCGACTTGTCACGCCTCTCAAAGTAGTAGCAGTGGTGCTTGGACGTCCAAACGGAAAGAACGTCACTTTTCCGGTGTCAAAATCCAACAGCCCTTCACTGAAAGGAACTTAGTAGGTGCAGAATACAGATGGATAACGTAACAAAATTCAATAACGTAGATATGTATAATCCTTTCTTCCACTTAACGCCGACGAAATACTTATAGTTGTTGAGATCTTCCCATCATTCCCTCATCATCTTCCCTCCTCATTAACCCACATCTCTGACATTAACATCAGCACATACTTCAGTACGGTAGTTTGTTGTTAGTTAAGCTCACTCGTCACACAGGCCTACGTGTCATTCTCACTAACAATCATTTAATAAGTTATTCAAAATAGAACAAAAGAACATTTAAAACAATGAATTTACATCTCACCCAGAGTGTGAGTTAAATCTTGTACGCCTTCCAAAACGTATACCGGTACACACGTGTGCACCCTGTATCCAATTTCAGATAAAATGTGCACATTCAAAATATACATAATTATCAAATTAATGCATTTAACTCTCTTTCGAATTTATGCGTGCTACATCGTCCAATTATATGCAGGAATTCAAATTTTAGTAATGAAATCACATTAATGTATGATTCGTTTCGTAATCTATAAAGAGAGCTAAAAACATTGAAGAATGAATGGTATTGACTTAGCAAAGGATTTCTTCTTTTACGAAGAATTCGCATTACAAAACAATACAATAATAAACGTTGTCGATATTTTGGAACAGATTAATATACTGACAAAATAGGGATGAATTACATTATTTATACATTAAACCAATTAGTACCTTAAATAAATATCTTAAAATTATCTAGTAAAATTAGTAAAATTGTTATTAAACTAGTACGTATATTCCTTATAAAACATAGGAACCACAAAAAAATTAAAACTGTGTAGTTTTATGTTCTTTCACACTATCAAGTTTTAAGTGACGAATTCCTGTGATTTGCTCAATGTGATGTGATCACATAATCATAACCCATATAATAATATGCCAACAAGGCCTCGAAGCGCTCCACATTATTACCCCCAGTCATTGGATCAATAACATATGGAAGACATACTCAGCTCCCCTGGGGAGAATTCCATAATGTTGCAGCTGTAATCAGCGCATTTTATTTGAGCCTACCACCAGGTACCCACTTGTACTCCTTGGTGGAGAGAGACAACCGTAGGTACAGTGCCTTAACAAGAGAAATGCACAGCGAGGGATTGAACCTCTAATCTCAAGGTTGAGAAGCAGAACCACAACCACTGCGCATGCGCCAAACTGCCCTTAATGGACAAAACCCAGTTACTTGTCACAGAAAAGTTGTTAGTGTGGACAGAGTATTATAGGCTTTTAAAATCAGTTCACTTGTGACCGACTGGAAAGAATAAATACAACTTGTCGTTAGTCAAAAAAGTGGCTAGTGGACACAGCGTATAGTAAAAGGCCTACACCAGTAAATTTAATTACCAGAATAAAACAAGTTCTATTTACGGATGTGTATGTTGTTAAGACAAAGAAAAGAAGATTGTTGGATAGAACACTTTTACTAAGTTTTTCAGTGTAGGTTAATGTCTTATTTCCATTATCTTGATTTGTGCCCCCCCCCCCCCACACCCAACCCAATGTAAATGTTTCTGGCACGACTGAAGGTGGATATTTGGAGAAAATATTTAAGAAGTTTGGCAGTTTAAAATCCATACAGTGCCCTCTATGTAGCAATATTCAAAGTGACACTTTAAATATTTTTCATTTTTGACTAACGAACAAACTATACCTACTTACATGTTCGATATATTCCAAGCTAAAATGTGTTTCATTGATACTTACCAACAAGATTTATTATACCAAACATGAGACCATTAGTAGACAAAAAGGAGAAATATCTCTCGTTTGAATTAGCTGTAACTTCACCACAGGTAATGTATTCATAAACCGAATCAACAGAGCCTGAAATATATTAGGAAAATATGTTTAGAGTTTAGCTTCAATCATCCGTAAAATTAATAAAGCAACTTCGAAATCACAAAACTTTATTAATCTAACACCATTAATAAAACATTCAACACCACAAATTGAAAACAATTTTGAATGAGTTACAAATTGTATTCGTGTACGGTTATTGTTATTTCGAAATTGCATACAGATGACGGATTGTCTTTATTGTATTTTCATTATATAACTTTAATCTATCACGTTTTCTGCTCTTGTAAGCTTCTTGATTAATATTCCTGTAAAACATTACAAAATTAGCAGAACTTATAGTACAGTTAAACACCGATGGATCATCGGGTTATATAAGAGTTTTGTTTTCAAATTGCTACGTCTATGTGCAAATATTTCAGTTATAAAATGTTCATATGGACATCGTTTTGTTAGCCTTGCGAAACAACACATTATCAACATTCGCATTCCATTAAGCTTATTAATAACCAATGCACTTAATTCTGTGATCCATCACATTCCCGTTGTTCATAATACAATATACATGCGCATGTCTAGCTAAGGTCACATGCGCATGTCTATCTATAAGGTCAAAGAATATAAATTTAAATAAACAATTTTATGCAGCAAAGGCCCGGTGGTAAAAAGCCGGGTGGCAAAAGGCCGGGTGGCAACGGGCCAGGTGGCAACGGGCCTAAACTCATTTTATGCATATTATTTATATTTATTTCAGATTGTTCGAATAATTTCATTAGGTTTTTAATGTAGTATTGATTGTAGAATTCTTAATTTAGAATAATAATATGTCGATCTTATATAGCGATTAATGCATAAAGCCTCTAAGCTACCCCGGTCATTGGATCAAACACGTATGGAACATATACTCCTGTCTCTTATACACATCTAGATGTGTATAAGAGACAGGCCCTAGGCCTAGCACAGGCAGGCACTTGCCTAATGTAATTCTGTTTTGTCGTCTTCCTTTTATTGAAACATCATCATGAGATCAATAGAAATAATTTTAATCTTCAACTTTTTATATCAGTGTATAAACGATGTAACTCACCCGCTATAACTCTCGTGTAGACATACGATAAATTTGATGCGACCTTGACTGGATTTCTCATTATCTTGCATCTGTCTCTTATACACATCTAGATGTGTATAAGAGACAGGTTAATTAAATATGGCAAAAATAGTATTTTATAAATGACAATTCTACATGTATTTGCCACAAAGTTCTTGCTAATCGGAATTGGAATGCAATTTTTTTATTTTTTACCCGAAAACCAAATAAAAGTCTAAAAACGTAGCAGTACGTATATTTTTTACTCGGTTTTAAACTAAGAATTCTACAATCAATATTTCAGACTGGTTGCCATATTCAGATACTGTAACCGTAAGAATCAACTACTAAATAACGCTTTATAAAATTGAAGAGGATAGCATATTATGTCGAATGTGTTTATTTGTGTGCCTTGACCTACGACCGATTTTAATTGTAATTTTCATCAGCAAAAGTTGTAACAAAAATAAAAGATACGTTGAATGACACTGGGATCCAGTGGCGTAAACACGTGCATTTGTGGGAGAACATCAATTAGCAAATGTTTCCCAAACTTTCTGTACCTTCTATACTTTAATCTCCATTTTAGTAGGAATGAATTGATCACCTTAACACATTTCTTAGTTTATTCACAAAGCGAGGTACATGGAAACCATGTTTTTTTTTTTTTCATGGATTATTTGTTGTTCTATTCCAATTATTTTATTATCTACTAGTTTAAGACTAAATGATTATTTAACTGGCGCTTTGGTGTGTATTAGCTTATGTAAAATTATTGGAATTTGCATTTCAAACACTGCACATTATTAAAACCTAGAATTTGAGGGTGCTAATTCGAGAACAGCGGTTGCTTTCCAATCGAATCTAAAAGACCCGGAGCCAGTTTAATTTCTGGTCACCAAAATAAAAGTGTTTGGCTATGGAGCGTCGATGATGCCAATTACGGTAAGCGAAAGTGACATACCAAGAGGAAAGTCCGGATCCGTGGCTCTGACGTACACTTTGGTAAGAAAGACAAGTAAACCAATAAAGATGATACCAGTATTGAAATAAGACATGTAAAATGTAGCGCCCAGGCCTCCGATAAATGTGTAACTGCCGATCATCGCTGCAAGGATGAGCGAAGCCATTTCGAGGCTAAAACCCGGCACCAAATTCATTATCACAGCTGTACCACCTGTAAGTAAAAAAATAAGTTACAATTTTTTTTAATGCAAATTAAATGTTATTATTTGTACTACCACTATGATGCATGGAGAATATAGAATGGTTGATACTTTTGATTTAAAAATCCGATTTATTTTTCATTCAATGTTTTTTTTTTTAAATTTAATTTTATGTCTTAAATTGCATATGGTAGGCCAATTTTTATAACTGTAAATTGTAATTATAGATAAGTATTTTTATATAAATAATTAATAATATTTAATAAAGAATGCAGGTCAATACTACATTCTAATTTTATAATCAATAATAATTTTTGTGTATTTTATATGTAATCATATTTTATAGGCTTAGGCCTAATACTGATGTTAACATACTGTACAATTTTTACCTCACTGTGCTTTTTGTTAATATTATTCATTGAGCTCTGTCAACAAAAAGATTTCTGTATTCCATATTCTGTAATGAGTGCACTGTTTTAGCTTCAAGATTAGGTTGAAAAAAGCCTGGTTTCGATTAAAAAAAAAAAAAAAAAACACGCTACAAGCTATCGCCGACTTCTTTGGCGACGCTGATTGGTCAGTTGATTGGGAAGCGTTCCCGATTGCGTCGATTGCAGTGAAAACTAGCAGTGAAAACGCTGTAGCGACTGTGTAGCGATTATATGGAAACCAGGCTTAGAATGAAAGAATTTTAGTAGACTTTCCGGTTCAGTAGACCAACTGACAAAATAAAATGTTGGTAGTACAAATAACATTCGGAAAGTTGATAAGCTTTTAAGAAAAAGTTGCCATGGAAACACGTTGCGCCCGACAACATGGAACACGGATGGATTTATTCGGTGTAAACACCACCGAGGAAAACAGTAGGAGGTCGTTATGGAAGTGATTGGGCAGTATACCGGTAGACAATCCCCTAGCCTACTCTTTTCCGAAGAGTGTAGTAAGTTCTTTAATATGCACCTGTGCCATAAACACACGGGACCAACGGCTTAAACGTCTCATCCGACGTGCGTTATGCATTTCAGTCCTTCAACGCAAGAAGAACAGCGATGGAATTGAACTGGAGACCTGATATCTTCACGGTTCGGAGCACACACAGTGGCTACCACCAGTTGTTTAGCCGACGACTGAGCAAACTCTGTACGCGTAAGCCTACGAACATGCGAAATGCTAGAGGTCCCGAGAGATTTTTGTGTGGTATTGATGGAACCATGATGCATATCTTTAAAGCGTTACATCAAACTCTCACTCGCTTGCAAATTATTTATTTCGTTCTCCTTCAATAGCATTGCAATTAATACAGTAACTCACGAATCACATGTTAAAAATAGATTACTGTAATACGTACATGTATGCACATATTTTGATCTTTAGATGTTAGTGAGGCCTTGAAGAAGGAAGTTGGTTTATCTGCTGTTTTTTCGGATTTTAATCACCATCTTATTCTACAAAATTTCAATATTTTTAAACGTATCGATTAGACAATCCTATATATATATATATATATATATATATAT